CAAACACAAAGAAGTACATCCAGTCCCTAAACGGGATGCACACGTCACTGTCCCGTTTCGTTGTTAAGTCCTCCCAACATTGCCCTCCCATTCTTCAAGCTTTTGGCAAGGAGGTCGCATTCAAATGGACCGAGGAGTGTGAGGAGGCCCTCATCCACCTCAAACAAGTCCTCTCAGACCCACCGGTCCTGTCGAGGCCCGAGGTCGGGGAAACCCTATACTTATATCTTGTCATCACAACTGAGGCCGTCAGCGCAAAGTTGATTCGCAAAACTCTCGAAGGGCAGAAGCGGATCTACTTCACGAGCAAAGCCCTCCAAGATCCCGAGCTCAGGTACCAGCAGATCGAGAAGGTCGCTCTGGCCCTCATCAATGTGACCAGGAGTTTGCGACATTACTTCCTGGCTCACACGATCATGGTCAGAACCGACCAACCTGTCAAACAGCTACTCGGGCAGCCAGACATGTCAGGCAGAATGCTCAGATGGTCGCTCGAACTCTCAGAATTTGATGTTCAATACGAGATCAGAAAGGCCCTCAAGGTACAAGTTATGTCCGACTTCATCGCGGAAATTACCTTCACAGAGTCCCCGATTCCTGGGGCACACAAGTGGACCATTTTCGTCGATGGCGCCTTCAGCTCGACGGGAAGTAGAGCGGGCATCATCTTAGAGAAGGAAGAAGGAATCTTGATAGAAGTCTCCCTTGCCTTAGCATTCCCGACGTTGAACAACCAGGCCGAATACGAGGCATTCGTCGCAGGACTCTGCTTGGCCGAGGACCTTGGCACGAAAGAGGTAAAGATCTTTACCGACTCCCAGCTCGTGCCCTCCCAGGTGCGGGGAGACTACCAAGCCAAGAATTACAATCTTGCAGAGTACCTCGCCTTGGTAAAAGAAAAAATGAAGAGCTTCGATTTTGCGAAAGTGCAACACGTTCCACGCGAGCACAACACCAGGGCAGACATCTTGTCGAAACTAGCGAGCACGAAGAAAAAGGACGGAAACAACTCTATAATCTAGGAGGTTCTCTCTTGATCGAGCATTGAGAAAGACACAGTGACAGTCGAGGTTAACACTATCGGTGACAGAAACTCTGGATGACCCCGTGTACACATACCTCAGCACGGGGCGCCTGCCCGACAATGCAAAGGAGGCCAGCATTTTAGGCACCGAGCTTACTCATACGTCTTAGTCAAGGACAAGTTGTACCAAAGGGGATACTCAATTCCCCTCCTCAAATGCATCGACGAATCCAAGACACCGAGCATACTCCAAGAGATCCACGAAGGAATCAAGGCCCAACACCTTGTCGTGCGAGTGGTAAGGCTCTACGGATAGGATATTATTGTCCTACCATGCAACAAGATGCCAAAGAGCACGTCAATAAGTGCGACAAATGCCAGCGGCACGAGGACATGCATCTGGCCCCGCCCAATGAGCTCAAAACACTCTCATCCCCATAGCCATTTTCCTGGTGGGGGATGGACATCCTCGAGGCCTTCACCATAGGGTCATACCAAAATAAGTATTTGATAGTCGGCGTCGACTACTTCACTAAGTGGATAGAGGCCGAAGTCTTAGCCAAAATCATGACCCACAACATACTTTGTTTCTATAAAAGGAATATACTTGCCCAGTTTGGCGTACCCCAAGCAATTGTCACCGACAACGGGACACAGTTCACCGACATGAACCTTCAAGACTTCGCTACCAAGATATGCATGAAGCAACACTTCACATCGGTCGAGCACCCGCAAACAAACGGGCAGGCCGAAGCCGCGAATAGAGTGATTCTGCGTGGCTTGAAACGAAGAATGGGAGACGCCAAGAAGAGATGGGTCGAGGAGCTACATTGCGTGTTATAGGACGACCCCGCACTTGACGACAGGGGAGACCCTGTTCCGACTAACCTACGGGACCCAGGCGGTGATTCCGGTAGAAATAAAGGAGCTATCCAGGAGAACCGAATCTCCCTTCGACGAGGAAGCAAACAACAAGGCCCTAAGGGAGGAACTTGACCTAGTCGAGGAAATCCTGTCGGGGGCATCTCTCCGCGAAGCCTGCTGAAACAAAAGATAACTTTGCGACATGACAACAAAGTCATCAGACGCGAGTTTCAGGTAGGCAGCCTGGTCCTACGAAGGAATCAGAAGGACTCGCACGAGGGCAAACTCGCGGCAATATGGGAAGGTCCCTACCGGGTCCGAGACAAAACGAGCAACGAGGGCTATTACCTCGAAAACCTGCACGGGGAGGAACTTGCTCGACCATGGAACGCTGAAAAGCTCAAACAATACTATAGTTAGACACTACCCACGACCTACTAGCATCGCGGCCACAGGGGCGCGATAGGGTACAAGCGTGACTCCTAAATTCAAAACAAAAAGACAAAAGTCTGTCATTTGATCCGACGGGGACTCCTCAATTGAGTTCCATCATTGTCGTACCAGTAAGGCAGAATGCCTAGCTCGCGATGGGAAGTTCATGCCATGAAGCAAAAACCTCGACCAGGTACGCCCGAAATAGAGTCTAAGTACGCCCGAAATAGTCTCCTCGACTGCTTCAGGGACACCCAGTTGTGTCGGCCCTCGAATGTCTGTCGTTGCAGGTGGAAGATGCGGAAGAAGAGAGGTAACGTGGTCCCGATATTGAGGTACCGACATACAAGCTCGCACGCTCTCACGAACGCGATCACGTTGGGATGAAGCTGCAAAGGCGCCAGCGCAGCCAGTCGAACACTCCCTGCTGGAAGTCACTGAAGGGCAGACGTATGCCCGCTTCCCAGAAAGCAAATTCGTACATTGGAAACCTCATCCCTTTGAAAGACGAGCATATGTGATGGTGTTCTCGAGGTTTGTAAACCTGCCAGTTCATGGAGGAGCCCTCACAGCAATCCTCAACAGTAGCATAAGCGTTTGAATCGTCTCGACAAAGCGTGAGGGGATGCTTAGGGGCTCCTGCCCGGCCCAATCTTCGGGAGTCTGCTTTCTGACCTCTCTGGTCTGCACGACTGGGAAATCAGGCTCATCATCAATCTCGATGACCCCCTCGATCCTTGCAGCCATTTTTACGTGAAAAACATAGGAAACAGTGAATTCGGCATTCAAGATCAAATCCACCATTCCACCGCAAATCAAGTGAAAGTGAGAAGAGAGGGGCGCAGAGCCACCGGACAGGCCTTCGCGGCTTGGACTTGCCCCTTATTTATAATCCTAGCATGGCGCTCGAGGCGTCCCTAGCCGCCCTAGGCATTAATTGCCCTGACACGTGACATCACCAAACACCTCACGCACCCGTTCATATTTCTCTCCTGTCCGGAATCGTACGCGCCCATCCCCTCTAACGTCTCCCACACAGGCGGTCCCGCAGTCTCAGTACCCCGTCGGGGACACAAAGAGCAGTGCATGGCCGCAACACGCAAGCACGGCTCCCCGGGAGCACCCACGATATGGAGAAGCCCGACACTTGGCTGCATCCATCATCCTCGACGTTGGGACTGACGCTTAAGTCATTACTTCTCCACTTAAAAGCAACGAGTTGTGGGGCTCCTGTTCTGGACTGGGTCAATACCTGCCCCACAGTCGGGCAGACCCAACCGACTACTACATTGGGGAGGCCTAGCGAGGCCCAATCCTCAATCCCGTCGGGCACGCTCAGTACTCTTTGCAGTCGAGCAAACCACTACCTAGCACGCCCCATGTTCTTCACGTGTCCCCCACACGGGGCCACATCATCAGACAACTACCCGTGTCCTAAAGAACCGGTCTTCCACCTTCCGAGGATCACGAGACAGTTGGACCAGGGTGAAAACCACGTGCTGGTCTTTCCTACGCCACGTAGACCTTGACAGTTACTTGTGTTGGGTCTAGCAATCCAACCTAATGCAATGTAACCGTTGGCCCAGCGTTAGGGACACACTATAAATAAATATCCTATTTCACTAGAGGGTCAGGTATTCTGAATTCTACACCTTCTTTTTGTACTTGCTCTCTTTTACTTCGTTTCTCACTTTAGCATCAGAGTACCTTGCAGGTACACCCTCCTCCTTTTCTCCAACACCGGTGAACATATGAGCTCACGACGCGTGATGGACGGCTGATTCTTTTCTGATCCAGTAAGATTAATTTTTTAGATACATTAAATTATAAAAAATTCTCCACAAAAAATTAGAATTTTATTAACATATATTGAATTCAATACAACTTTTTAAACACTAAAAACTCAAAATAAAAGTGACAAAAATATGAATTTAAAAATCGATTTTTGATTTTTTTTTATAGAGGGGCTTTTTATAATATTTCAAATCGATTTTTGATATTTTTTCTTTATAGAGGGGCTTTTTATAATATTTCAAATATATTCTTAAAAAGCTGTTAAAAAAACATATATTGACTTTGTTATATTGATTAAAAGTATATTTAACTCTAAAATATTAACTACTTTCACACCTATTAAATAATTTATTCTAAGGCTACCTACGCCATCCTTTTCTCACATTCTCACTACATAATGTTTTTTCCCTCAACAAGTTAAAAAAATCAAAAATAAAAATTGTTATTTTTTTTAGAAACTCAATATACAAAAATATAAACCAAAATTTTTATAAAACTTTTGCCTTTGATTTCTTAACTTGTGGCCCCTTGCAAAAATCAATGGAGAAAGAATTCAAAACACAATGAAGGAATCAGTAACAGAAAATCGAAGAAAAACACCAAGCACAAAGGAAGCAATGCAAATAAGAGAATCAAAATTCTATTTTAAATTTGTACTCATACCACACATTCCTTTTTTATTTCTTTGCTTGTCTACCCCACACCATACTACCTTTCTTGTTGAGAGAATCAAGTCCATATTAGGCATACACACATCATAGCAGTTAGAGTTTAGAGTTTAAGATGACAGACAAGTATGTGTGTAAATCAGTTTTGTGACATTTGCACACTTCATACAGGAATATAAGATAGATTGAGGTAACATCCCAATAGAAATTGAGATATTCTAGTATCGATACTTGGTGGAGTAATCTTTGGGAGCAATGACAAGACCACGTCCCTTCCTTGCACCTCTGTAGACAGTTTCAATGATGTCAATGAACTCTTGTTTGTCCTTCATCGCCCAATTAATCTTGTTGTTGTTTCCAGTTCCAAGATCTATCATGATGTGCTTGTTCCTAAAGAAGAACATAACTGTCGAAGGATCGTACAACTCATACATAGTGTTAAAATCAGGCACTTCTGTGATGTCCACAAGGTATATCACAGCAAAGTTCTTTATTGTCTCTGCAACCGATGACAGCACCTCATCCATCTTGGCACATAAAAAAACAAAATCGAACACCAAATCAAATAGGAGTACCAGCCTAATTAATGCAATTTCACTCATATAACCCACATCAACGTATAGCCGAGAATTGGGATATCAAGATGTTGAAATAAACAAATATTATGAGTCATATGATAATATCAACCAAGGCTTTAAAATTTTAGTGGTGTTTGTGGTTTCATCATATCACATTACATCCTTGAAATTGTGAAAAATTACAAAAAAATCACAAATGTGTGGCCGATACTTTAATCACAAAGTGGTTGAAAATACCTCTACGTGACTATAACTAGATTTGAATTAGCTTTATGATTCTTCACTTTCGGAAAAAAATACTTTAACTATATAGATTTTGTTGTGTTTACAAAAAGCCAAATGAGGGAGCTCGTGAGAAGTTAAGATGCAGAAACAAATTTGGAAAATGCTTGTTATGAAATCAAATTGAACGAATTAGGAAGAAACAATTTTGCACCTTGTGAACAACCATCTCCTCCCTAAATTCACACTACATCTCTCCTATCTTCTTTATGTTTGACTATTATCTTCTATATCTCTCTCCGCGCTATATAGAACTGCTGAACTAATTTCAACTTATATACAAGTTGCTTCGTCTAAAAAAGTAATATTCTTTTAAAAATTATATGCTTAAAAGTACTTGTTGGTGAGTTGTTTATTGATACATTAAGACCTCAATTAGCCAAATAGTAATATCAGTAAATCAAAGTATAAAACTTTGACATTTTCATGTATAGTTGAATGAATGAAAATTATGCCATATAAAACCTTGGATGATATTTTGCAAACTAGCTATAGTGAATGAATGATTTTGAAATAGAATAAAACAGTTACCTGCATACAAGTCTCGTCCCAATCGTGTCCAAAACGGATGACAACGAGACGCTCTTCCTCGGCAAGGATCGCCTGATCCACAGCCCACCCCGAATGCAAGTGAGGCAACATGTACGACATCTTTCTTGTTCTTAATCACAAACTCTACTTTCTGCCCCAACCAACACAAATCAACTTTTTTTTTAATTAGGGTTTCATCATTCAGCAACATCAGAGATATTATAAGATAAAACAAACTAAAAGATCAATTTACTCACGAACATTATCATACTCGGAATTGAAAGGGGAGAATAAATTTAGGTTTTTGTTAAAATTGGGGATTTTTTGCTCTGTGTACAAAAACTGAAGCAAATAATGAAATTAAACAACATCGAAAGAGTGGATCAATGATATGAGTGGTTAATTTCGGGTTTGAGATAAAGGGGAAAGTTAGGGTTTGAATAAAATTAGGGTTTTATGACTTTGAAGATATAAGTATCGGAAAAAGAAGATGAGTACTTACAGTGAGTAAGGAGAAGAACGAGTTGAAGGTGGTGAAGATTCCTGCAGCGATGGAGCTTCCGTGCGATGGTGCTGAGAATACAAATTTAATTTGCTATGAACTTTAGTGAAAAGTTTTACGTATATAATTATATAAAAATCAATAGTTTATTTGAAAAGTTTTTTCCAAAAAAACAAAAAAATTTCAAATAAATAACCGATGTTTTAAATTATTTACTAAAGTAATCTTGTTTTAAATAAAATAAATTTATCACAAAGAAAATGTGTCAATATTTATGGCGCATACACTTTAAAGTGAGGATAAATTTTTTTTCATTTATTTATCTCTCCATTTTTTTCATTATTATAGTTTTCTGTGTAAATAATACACATTTCTAAAACATGTGATATATGATTAATATTTAATTGATTTTATATACATAGAAACTATAATAATGAAAAAAAAAATAGAGACAAAGAAATGAAGATAATCTTATCCTTTTAAACTGCACAAAAGAGTCATTATTTTTGGACAATGCATTATTGTCATATAAATAGTATTGACACATGCATTGCTTCACTAGCATACATCAATACTCCTGACACCTATGTATATTTGTTTTTTTAATTAATTAATAAAAAAAATATTAAATAAAAAATAGAATTACTCAATGATTAAAGAGAATTTTAATGACCCATTTGGTCATAACGGCCACGGTTTCAATGACCGAACAAGTCACTGAAATTCTCTTCAATTGTTCTGTAATTCTATTTTATAAAATAATATTACAATAAATATTATATTTTACCTTAAAAATCATGTTGTTAAGAAAATTAATCATTTCGGTTAAATATTGAGAAAAAACGTTAACTTGGGGTGATGTGGCATGACAACATGACAACAATTAAAATAATGAGTCAGCAATTTCATTAAGGGACTAAAAACTCAAGTATTTTTATCCTGGTCCGTTGAACTCAACTACTCCAGTCCACCCTTCCTAGAGTGATTTGCCTTTCTCAAACAAGGACTTAATCTACTATTTAATCAACTTATTACAATAGTAAGCACTTAGAACAACTGTTCAAAGTCTTCTCAAGAACTATTGATCCTAACTGGATCTTCTTAAGGTTTACAATCAAATGTAATACAAATATAAGTGTTTAAGATTGCTTCTATAAAGCTTTATCACAACTGTAATTTTTCACTTAACTATTAAGAACAAAGAAATTAATTCTTAGAAAGAATATGAATAGTATGAGAGCTTGAATGTTGATTTCTTTTGGATAAAACGTCAAGTGAAGAAGATGGGTGAAGACTTGCTTTTATAGGCAGCTTATCCAATGGGAGCTTCACGTTGAAAAGAGTGTCCAAAAGGTCTGAGCCTTTTTGTCTTCACATCAAGTGACATTTCATAGAAGAAGAAAGCACAGATAAATCCTTTTTGTTTGTGTTCTTGTGTCTAGCATAAATAAGGAAAGAGTCGTTTGGATCATTCCAACGAATATAAACTTTGAATAATTCTTCTTTAATTTTCAGCAAGTTCCATCAGAGTCTAAATTAATCAGAGCCTTCTGATGTTGATCAGAGTTTTGCTGAGTCAGAGTCTTCTGCAGCAGGTGTGCTATTAGCGTGTTTAAGATCAGAGCATATTTGAGACAGATCTTCAATACTGGCAGCTTTAATACTTTCAGAATTTTCTGTAGTAACTATGCTTTGAAAAACTCTTCATACAAAATTCTTCTTTGGTTCAGATGCTTCTGACTTGCTTCAGATTCTTCTGGAGCTTCTGCTTCAGATCCTACTGGAGCTTCTGCTTCAGAACCTTCAGGAGCTTCTGCTTCAGAATCTTCTGGAGGCTATGCTCAGGATCTTCTGTTGGCAGCAATCAGAATCTTCTAATGGATGCATCTGGCGCTTCAGAGTCTAGATAATTTCTTATGTTCAATTCTGATTTGCTTCTGGAGTGTTAATTCCTTTACTATCTGCAGTAAAAACTCTCAAGCAAATTTTAGAGTATATAATTCTTAATTACAAAATTTCATAATAGTTATCATCAAAACATAGAGATATTATTAAGAACCAATCTGTGTTCTAACAATCTCCCCTTTTTTGATGATGACAAAAACATCAGAAATTTTGTTTAATTGAAAATATGATAATTATAACTCCCCCTGAGATGATGAATCTCCCCCTGAATTAAATACAAATAAGGAATAAAAACTTCCCTTTTGTCTTGAGTAATTTTCAGAGTTAGATCTTGATTGTTCTTTTAACATTTGAGAGTCAGAGTGTCTTGCAAATTTCAGAGTCAGAATTTGATAATTGTCAAATGATCTGTGATCGGGAAAATAGCAAGTGTACTATTTTGACCAATTGTAGTAATAAGGGAAAAGTCCCAAGTATCGATCTCGAGGACTGCGTAGTAATTAACGGAATTTTTAGGATTCAATTGAACAAAAGGTCTAGTGGTTTGTTTGGTAGCAGAGTAATATAACAAGTAAATACGGACTTAATTAATCAATCTAAGAACAGTGTTAGGGGAGTGGAGACTATGCGAGTAAAGACCCTGTATGATTATTCTACTATACTGGTTATTAACCTTAATTTATCAGTTGGCCACTTTAGTTGCCTTAATTCCTTAATGGAAACCCTTTGATGATTTTCCTGTTCACTAATTCCTCAGTGTCCCTGAAAAACATCAAGCAATAGTTCCGACCATAAAATACGTGATACGGGATATCCTCATTCCTAAGCAATATCGACCATGATACTATTTTGCAAAAGTGTTAGGTTGACTTTCCAGACTAAAGCCTAAGCACGACTCGAATTCTACTTTCCAATATGAATACGATTAAGATTAATGCAAAATAAAATATATCAAGGTAAAAACAGAGTTCTCATAGAATAATTAAATAAAAGTCATTACATCGCACTTAGGACCACCCCCTAACAACTTGGGGTTTAGCTGCTCATGTTCTTGGTAAACATAAAAGTAATTAGAATTAAAAAGGAGAAGATCATTACAATGCAAGTTGAAATCCTTGGATCATCAATCGCTTCCGCTTTTGATCGATCCTCTCTTTCCAGCCGAACTCTCCTCTCAGTTGTCAATCCTAATATCAGTTCAAAAGTGTCCCCTACTTTCTAAAATGTGCCTCTTATATCTAAATTCAAATTACATCGCGAAATGTCTCAAATGCCCTTCGAAATAGGTCTGACAGCAAAAAATCAGAAAACAGAGAAATTTCACTTTCAGTGGCCCTGACACGGGTCGTGTTGTGCAACACGGGTGGCCGTGTCAGGCTGCTGACTTCTTCAGGGCGTGCTCCTCTCCAAGGGCTGCAACACGGGTCGTGTTGCATGACACGGGCACCCGTGTTGCAAGTCTGAGTCTTCTTTTCTTCTGCTTTGGTCCACCCGTGTCTGCCAACCGTGTCCTCCATGACACGGGTCGTGTTGTGCAACACGGGTACCCGTGTTGTAGCTCTGATTTCCCTTTTTCGACTTTTCTTTGCCCCCCAATGCGGTGCAATTGTCGTGCTATCCATTCCTGTCAAAAACACACTAAAAGAAACCAAATCAAACGCACCAGCGGCAAAAGTAACATAAACTTAAAAATAAGACTCGAAGACACACAACTACGAGTAATGCAGATAATGACAACTAAAGCTTCGAAAAACAGATAAAAACATTGCGAAATTAACCACAAACAGCGTTTGAAAACACAACTGAAATCCACCGATCAAACTCCCCCGAACTTGAACTTTTGCTTGTCCTCAAGCAAAAAGCTCACCAACCCGAACTTAATCTCTTTTTTTTTCGTAACGGAACCGTCCATAGAATTGTGAGTTACGGTGATAATACTCATACTTGATTTTCTCATTCCAAGTCCCCTAGGATTAATCACGGCTTTTCCCTCAAAACAGGTAACATGCAAACACTAGACTGCGGTAAACTACAGGCCTCAGTCTCCCTATGGGTAACCTTGTAACCCGGTGAACTGACTTTAAACAATGTTGCGGATAGCAAGAGTCGCCACCGACTTTTATTTTATCCATAAGGAAAGGTTATAAAAGAACAGGAAAGACCTTAGAGAATATTTTGGGTCCGGGGGGTAGGTTATGAAAAGGGAAGGTGTTAGCACCCTTTTCATCCATGGTTATCCATGGGCTCTTAGGTACTTAAGCTCACTTTTGAATTGTTTTGAAAGTGTAGTGTGTGAATAGAAAATTTTCAGAATAGTTAATAAATAATCCATGTAAGGATGTATTAAGAACTTGTTTGAAAACTTGTTGAAAATTTGTTTAAGTGTGAAACAGTTTTGAAGTGAGCAAGTATCTAGGAGTAGCCTACCCTAATGTTTTAAGGTCTTTCTTATTGTTTATCCTTTCCTTAGTAAGACTATCCCTACTATAATGGAGTAGGTAGTCCTTACTTTGGATGTTAAGGGACATGTGAGGGACAATTGGATTTTTGAAGGCCATTGTGGGATGTAATAAGCACATATAAGGGACCATCATCATTTTTCGAAAGGGACTCGATTCGTAAAGGCAACCATAAGGGACTTTGATGATTTTTCTATTTGAGGGACTTGCTTTATACACCCCACTTAACCATTATTCGTAGGCAACTTGAGGGA